ATATATATATATATATATATATATATATATATATATATATATATATATATATATATATATATATATATATATATATATATATATATATATATATATATATATATATATATATATATATATATATATATATATATATATATATATATATATATATATATATATATATATATATATATATATATATATATATATATATATATATATATATATATATATATATATATATATATATATATATATATATATATATATATATATATATATATATATATATATATATATATATATATATATATATATATATATATATATATATATATATATATATATATATATATATATATATATATATATATATATATATATATATATATATATATATATATATATATATATATATATATATATATATATATATATATATATATATATATATATATATATATATATATATATATATATATATATATATATATATATATATATATATATATATATATATATATATATATATATATATATATATATATATATATATATATATATATATATATATATATATATATATATATATATATATATATATATATATATATATATATATATATATATATATATATATATATATATATATATATATATATATATATATATATATATATATATATATATATATATATATATATATATATATATATATATATATATATATATATATATATATATATATATATATATATATATATATATATATATATATATATATATATATATATATATATATATATATATATATATATATATATATATATATATATATATATATATATATATATATATATATATATATATATATATATATATATATATATATATATATATATATATATATATATATATATATATATATATATATATATATATATATATATATATATATATATATATATATATATATATATATATATATATATATATATATATATATATATATATATATATATATATATATATATATATATATATATATATATATATATATATATATATATATATATATATATATATATATATATATATATATATATATATATATATATATATATATATATATATATATATATATATATATATATATATATATATATATATATATATATATATATATATATATATATATATATATATATATATATATATATATATATATATATATATATATATATATATATATATATATATATATATATATATATATATATATATATATATATATATATATATATATATATATATATATATATATATATATATATATATATATATATATATATATATATATATATATATATATATATATATATATATATATATATATATATATATATATATATATATATATATATATATATATATATATATATATATATATATATATATATATATATATATATATATATATATATATATATATATATATATATATATATATATATATATATATATATATATATATATATATATATATATATATATATATATATATATATATATATATATATATATATATATATATATATATATATATATATATATATATATATATATATATATATATATATATATATATATATATATATATATATATATATATATATATATATATATATATATATATATATATATATATATATATATATATATATATATATATATATATATATATATATATATATATATATATATATATATATATATATATATATATATATATATATATATATATATATATATATATATATATATATATATATATATATATATATATATATATATATATATATATATATATATATATATATATATATATATATATATATATATATATATATATATATATATATATATATATATATATATATATATATATATATATATATATATATATATATATATATATATATATATATATATATATATATATATATATATATATATATATATATATATATATATATATATATATATATATATATATATATATATATATATATATATATATATATATATATATATATATATATATATATATATATATATATATATATATATATATATATATATATATATATATATATATATATATATATATATATATATATATATATATATATATATATATATATATATATATATATATATATATATATATATATATATATATATATATATATATATATATATATATATATATATATATATATATATATATATATATATATATATATATATATATATATATATATATATATATATATATATATATATATATATATATATATATATATATATATATATATATATATATATATATATATATATATATATATATATATATATATAAAAACAAAAAAAAAACACTTGTATTTCTCACTGCCCGACATGGTTACGTGGTGGCCCCGGGCCATCGGGCCACTGTTTCTGTCGGACGCTGAAATGTATTGACCGTTGCAGAGAGTACCGTGATGCTCTGGCCAAGTACAAGAACACCGCACAGCAGATGAAGAACCTCAATCTGTTTATCAAAAGCCTGGATAGAGTGATGAATCGAAGACTGAAGGTTTTCGGTGACCTGAGGAGGTAAGCGAGGAAAGCAACCCCGCTCCCCACGCTTCAGATTCAGTTCAGATTCAGATTCAGAAAACTTTAATCATCCCCATGGGGTAATTGGACTTCTTTCTCCCAAGTACTGCGACTGCTTTTAAAGTCGCCGCACCTTCTTGACTTCAGGTTCCTGTCGGCGCGTTGTCAATATTACTTCAGCAGCATGCTGGCGCAGAGAGGCTACACGGGGACCATGAACTTTGACCACAAGAACGAGACCCTCACCATCTCTGTGAGAATGCCCCCTGAAAATAATTTTTCTGCAACCGAGGCAAGAACTTTTTTTTTTTTTTTTCCTCATCCCGGTACAGGTGCAGCCTGGAAAAGGAAGCGAGCACGATTGGGTCAACATGCGCTCCCTTTCGGGGGGAGAGCGCTCTTTCTCCACCGTGTGCTTCGTCCTCTCACTCTGGGCCATCACGGAGGCACCCTTCCGCTGCCTGGATGAATTTGATGTTTATATGGTGCGTGACGTTTTGTTTCAGTGCTCAGAGAAGAGCTCGTCTTGAAAGTGCGCTATGATGTTGAATTTAGGACATGGTCAATCGGAGGATCTCAATGGACATGATGCTGCAAGTGGCCGATGGCCAACGCTACCGGCAGTTTATCTTCCTCACGCCACAAAGCATGAGGTAATCGCTCATATCATCAATATCGTTCGATTATTTGGCTCCTAATGATTTTTGCTCAAGTGTTCCATAACAGCAACAACACCAAAGCTCTTAGTTGAGGGCTGGAATTGGCAATGAACAGCTTGAAGCCTCTATTTTGAATATTTATTTTGTTGTTGTTTTTAGTATGTGCCAAACTGCCACCATAGAGAAAACTCGTATGTCCAAGTTTTGCTCACAAGACAAAGCAAAAAAAATAAAATAAAAATCCTCCTCTGAAGGCACGCATCTTGAAAAACTCAGTCACACGAATCACAAGGCGCCACTGTATAGCGGGTTCGCTGTAATCAGACTTTTTTTTTTTTTTCTCATGAACTATTTCATTCTTCCAAAAACATTGTACATTTTCCTTCTCCTCTTTAAGTTCTCTTCCAGAAACGGATCTCCTCACCATCCTCCGTCTCAAAGATCCGCAAAGAGGCCAGGAAAACCAAGAGGAAGATAAATCCTAATGGGCAAGTTCTAGCACTAGCCCCTCCCCTTCAGTAACAAGTATTTGTTTTCAAAATATGTTGACCAAAATATATCTTAAAGGGGGAAGTCGACCCAACATTTTCTTTACAATATTTTCTATGCGGCTCCACTAGTAATATTGCGTTTCAGGGAGTGGCCATTTTGCTGCTTTTTTTTTTTTTTTTGTTTTGTTTTGTTTTGTCAAGACTCAGGTAATCACCAGTCACGGCTCATCTTGCAGATGTCACATGACCAAACTCAGAAAACAGGTGAGCGATGATTGGTCTTTACCTGAGCTCTGAGCAACGGTGATGTCATGGCCGCCCCCTGAGATGTGTAAAAACATTTGCTCCGTAATTCATATTCCAGACACGCAAGACTAATCAGAATGCCGTGTTTAGGCTCGTGAGGGCCCATTGTAAAGAGAATTTTTGGACTGACTTCCCACTTTAAAAGGATTTATTTCAAATGTGTTTCTGCGCACATAATAAAGGTTTGCACTTTCACATTTTGCATGGGTTTAGTAGTGTGGATTCTTCCATCTAATCTAATCTAGAATGATAGCTGATCTCTTGGTGCAAAAACTGCTTTCCAAACAGCTGTCATAAAATTACACTTAAGTTTTTTTAATATATATATATATAAAAAGTAATGATTAAAAATGGTATGACATTTTTGTGGCGCTTTGTCTTTAACAATGGAGACATTTTTTTTGTAAAATTTAAACTTTATTCTGGGAAAATGACTTTCAAGTGAAATGACAACTTTCAAGACTTATTCCCCATTAAAATCACTGTCCTACAGTACATATTTTTTGAATATGATGACTTAAAACAAGCGTAAAAAAAAAACACTACAGGACTTTGAAACAGTACATCCTTTGGCCTCACTAGTAGGACAATTAATAGGACAACTTTGGAACATGAGTAGGGCAACTACATGTTACTAGCGCAGCAAAACTACTTGTGGGCATTTTGGTGTGAGTAGTGTCCAAGGGCTACTAGTGCGTAACATATGCATACTATTTTGGTTTGAAGATTTATTTTGAACATGAAAACAATTAAAAAAAAAAACACACCAAACATTTGGCCTGGTAGTGATCGTAGTGCAATGCAGTCATTAACTAGTGAGGTTTAACTGAGCGCTAGTAGGTGCCGGTTGGTAAACTTGTGCGATGAATTGTCTTACTAGTGATGACAAAGAGCGTACTGCTACACGGACTTTTAACTTTATATCAAGACAATAGCATAAATGCTCAAACAGTTTTCCAGAAAGGTGTCTGAGCTTTAATGAAAGATCCTTGATATGAAGATTATTAGTGCCAAACTAGTTGAGCCGACGGTTAAAGTGAGCTGCCCCTCTCCGTTCCTAATGGCAACAATAACAATAAAACAAACCTTACAAATGTAATTTTGAAAATGTACTTTTTTTTTTTTTTTTCCTGGCTCCACATGTGCATGCTTGGGATGTGGTTATTTCCCAAATGTCACCACCGCAAACAGACCTTTTTGAGTTGAAACGGAGGGGGCGTCAGTCCTGTAAAAGCTCCCAAATACCCTCCATGTGCGCAGCATGTTCAAAGTTCAGCCCGGATCAGATGACCGGGGCTGAGCGGTCGTTGGTGACGGTCGGACGTAGTCGCACGGTGGAAAACGGGTTGCCTCCCCTGGATAACGCAGACCAAGGATCAGTGTGTGAGCTCGTCGACAAATATATACAACGTATCTTTATTCATATCGCGCTTTCACAACAGCTGCACTTGTAACACCGTAGCGTCTCCTTGGACCATGAAACGAGGATGAGCGCCGGACAGTCGAAAACGTCTTTAGTGTGAGAATGAACGGGGAATGTCAAAAACATCTGACTAGTGTTTTGCTCAAGCGTCAGCCTTCATCCTCTTCCACCATGCAATTTCTTTCACCGCCTCACAGACAGGCCGGAACTTTGAACTCCAGCAACAATTACCGCTTGCCATGCTACATTACACCTTTTGTGATTTAAAAAAAAAAAAAAAAAATTATTATTATTATTATTATTACTATAGTATCGTAGCAATCCTGTAGTTATGTTAACTAGTATTAAGAGTTCTTGAAGTTTCTGACTGTGAGCCTGTGAAGGTGTTTGAATGTGATTGGATCAGCTTGTGTTACTTTGGCGCACACAGCTTGTGAACAACTGAGAAAAATATCGATCAGTGATGCCAATTAGTTGACGTCGACTCAACTATCATCCCCTTATCATGGACTCAAGATAAATTAGTAGCTGTTCAATCCCTCCAATATCTTGAGTTTTGTAGTTTTTTGTCATTTTGAGTGGACTTTTTCAGGTCTCAATATAGAGACTCGGGAATAAGTGAATGATTCCAAACATAGTCCAGGTAAGGGGTGTCAAATTCATTTTTGTGGCAGGCCACATCGAAGTGACCGTTTCTCTTAGAGGGCCATTATGACTGAAAACATAAAGAAATCAGGAAAAACGGTTCACTGAGCAATTGTTAAGTTAGTGTAATGAGCGGTTTGATCACAAGAAAATGCTTACAATATCTCGCTTGTTTATTACATATGAGAAGTTGAAATCTTGGTACAGATTTTAGCAATCATCGTAGAAGTTGACATGTTAGATTTGCTCTCGCGGGCCACATAAAATGATGTGGTGGGCCAGTATCTGGCCCCCGGGCCTTGAGTTTGACACCTTTGGTCTAGGCGCATGGTCGAAAAAGCCCTAAATAATGATAAGGAAACCAGTAAATAATTTTGAACAACAGAGGCTGACTTACGCCAGGTAAGCAGGTGTCGGTCTGGAGGTGCCGTTGGTCTGGTTTGTCTGTGGAGAGGGAAACAACAAAACTCCTTATGAGTCACATGACATATTAACCAATACTTTTCATGGAACACCCTTAAAAAAAAACAAACAAACCGCAACAACAAAAAAAAACACACACTATGTAAACATTTATTTCTGTGTGGCGAAAGACAACACAAGGCAGCGTGTGGAATCTTGTCCGTCTGGAAGTGCAAGTCGGGCCCAGAAGTCTGCTTGTTTTGTGTGTTAACTTCATAAAGTGTAGTTATTATTATAACAAATTATTTGCTCATGTAAAATATTGAAAGTATCTTGAACTTTCGTGAAACAATGCTCAGTAACGCCCCACAAAAAGTCAATTAAAATAAAAATCTTTAATGTTTCTTTCAGAGATGCAAAGATTACAGCCGAGAGCCACGATAGCTAATATAAATTTACCGGTAGATTTTTATTTGTAATAAATTTGTTGTGTGAATACAATGGGGTCATTCCATGCCAAATCACCCCCCCCCCCAAAAAAAAATTATATTATAATACAAATTTAACCAAGCAAATTTTTGCGTTAATAAAACTTGCTGCATTTGTTGATTGAATATTCAGCTTTCAATGAATAGTCAGTAAATATTCTGATCATATGGATGCTTTGACTCCTTAGTTGCTGATAACCAATAAAGAAATTTGGAATCCTTGTTGAATTCCCTTTCCCATAACAGCGGTTTGGTGAAAATCGACCCAATCGTTCCTGAGATAAAAGGTTCAAATGAAGGAGGCCACGCCCCTTTTTTGACAAAAAATGTCCAAATTCGGTCCCCCTGTCCTATTTGACCTTGAAATTTGAGATTTAGTGTTGTGCCATCACTATCAACAACAGCAAGTTTGATCAAAAATAATAAATAAAATAAAGAAAATTCACTGGGTGATTTGGCATTTGATTGACGCAGTGTCAAACCCAGTTTATTCCAGATGACATTCAAGATGTACATAGTGTTCGGAAATTAAAATATTCTTCCCGGTCAAGTTGTAATTCGGCACTGTTTTTATGTTTGAATGATTATGGTACAGGACTCTTGGGAATTCTAAATGTGAACGAGGTTTGACACATTCTCTGTTCATTCCAAGTTGTTGTTGATTCAACCTGCAGTCCTCAACAGTGACCACAAGATGGCAGTCAAAGCACAGAGAAAACGGCTTGCACAGTTTTGGCGCAAAACGATTTCAAAATCATGTGGGACTTGCATGTCCCCCTCAGTCTATTTCAGAATGTCACATACATGTGATTGAAAATCCATTTGAATTGTCTGAAACATGAAGATTATTCTTTCACGTTTCAACTCTCCCCAGGGGCACACTAAATTGACCCTTGAGGTTATTCTTTCCGTTTGGTGCCGATCGTTCTTGATAGCAAACCAGCATAGTTGCATTTTTTTTTTTTTTTTTTTTTTGCTCTCGATGACGGTGCATTCCAGAGAAACCACACCCCTGCGTTCTCCTGTTCTATTCATGTTCTATTGTGTAGATCACAGGTGTCAAACTCAAGGCCCGGGGCCCAGATCCGGCCTGCCAGATCATTTTATGTGGCCCACCAAAGCAATTTCAATTCTTTCTAAAATACCAAAATTGCAAATTGTCTTCACTTTTAAAAGCATTCGGCTATTGTTACCGATCCCTCTTTAAAAAGAAATGTAATAATATTTGAACAAAAAATGGTTTCTGAGGACAAAATTATGATTAGTCATTAATTTGCTGTATTTATGAAATATGAGAGAATTTGGGTTTACAAGCAAAGCCTAACTATGAAGTGGCCCGTGACAAAAAATAAATTTTGACACCCCTGGTGTAGATGTTCAACATAGACCTCAGGTGTCCCACAGGACATCATAGCAAGCACCGTCCTCAACCAAAATGCCAATAAAATACATCATACTCAGGAGAGACGCTCATTATTTTCCATCACGACCGATTTTGAAGGCTCTGGGGCGGATTAGATTGAAATGGCAACGCAGAGGTTTTAACTCTGATTGACCCAAAGATCAAACATGTTATGGGAAGCAGTGCAGTGAAGCAACAACAACACAACAACGTGAAGAGAAATCGACTGCCATGTTCGAGCCAAACTCCAGAATGAAACGCAACATGAAATTGTTGCCTCTTGGCAATAATAACATTTAAATTATTGCTGTTTTTTTTTTTTTGATGTGAGAAACCGTTTTAACAATCTCTCAAATATCTAATCCTCAAATGTCCATAGAACATAATTATAACAATTCGTTTCAACCGCTGCATCATCCTGCCCATGCTAAGTTTGATATGGGTATAGAAAAACTAAAATTACTTCAAGGTTGTGGCCGCGTAAGCTGTGCTGACTGCCACAGTTGGCGTGCCTGCGTTGAAGCATTAAAGCTTCAGTCAAGGAGTCGCTGGTGTTTTTCTCAGTAACTGGGCAACAGAGGGAATAACAATGCTGCCTTTTGTGCACGCAACAGTAAATAATGACTGCCTTTGCATGTTCCTCAAAATAGATTGATGAGCCGAACGTGTTCAATCAACTGATATCATTCAAATTACAAAACGTGTGGAAGAAAAAGAAACACGATGACCCCCAGCGACCGCAGATATAATTGAAGAACAACAGGACGAACAAATTCTGGTCAAAGCCGAGGAAAAAGTAGCAGTCAGCATTAGCAGAATCATCTGAACTTTATTTGGGGGTTGATCAGAGGCAATTTAAATGGTGGCGTGTGTGTGCTGACTCCTATTCGACATGCCTTTGAATGAATTGGTGTACCCCTGACATCTGTATTATGGCCTGTTTTACTGCCACTTCTCCATACGGCTCTACTGCGGGCAAAGCAGCATTACAGTCAGCGTAAAATGTGACGGAAAAAAGTTTGTCTACCAACTTGAGAAATGAACAGCGCAATGTGAGCGGGAGACTGACCGTGTGGTGATCAGATGATGATGAGGAGGAGACGGCGGAGGGCGTGGGGGAGTGCTGCCAGTGATTGTTGGTGGTGACGAAGGTGCCGGCGTTGGTGGATGACGGGTGGTGGGTCTTGACGGTGGCGCGTTTCGGGCTGTCGGTGTAGTCCTCCGGGGGGAGGATCATGGTGGCCTCGTCTGTTTCCGTGTCCTGGTGATGCAGGTTGACCACGCTACGGCTGCGGTACGGCGCCGCCGACACACTGCGTCACGTAGGCAACGAATTTGAAGTTAAAAAGCACATATTTTCAATGCACATGGAGCCATTCTGCACAAAATGGAGGTTAAGCATTGTTTGGATTTTTTTTTCCCCACACACCATTTGGCGCTACATGCAGTTAAGTGGTCAACATTTGTTATTGGTACGCCACAGAATCTCTGCCTATGTACAGTTCAGTTGTACTTAACTTTTAAATTCCATCCATTTAATCTTTTTGATTCACATTATTCAATGCCTTTTGTTCTTTATTCTTTTACGGATAGTGCCTGTTGACATTTTGGCAATACTGTACAGTGATCCCTCGCTACTCCGCGGTTCATTTATCGCGGGTTCAGTGCATCGTGGATTTTTTCAAATAAAAAAAAAAAAAGGTTGTATATGTTGCTCTATGTGACTTGCTGTTGTTTTGCAGCTTCTCGCATACCGTTTGCGGACTTTAAAAAAAAAAAACGTTTTTTTTTTTACCTGTTTATGTTAATTGGTCGCTACTTCGCGGATTTCCGTTTATCGCGGGTGGTTTTGGTCCCCATTAACCGCGATAAACGAGGGATTACTGTATATGATTCATTTTAATACGCCACACAGAATTTTTTATTGTTGGGAAACTAAAGGAAGGTCTGCTAACAATATAGCTGCTTGCAATGTGAAACCTGTTTCTGTTTGTGTGTGTGTGTGTGTGTGTGTGTGTGTGTGTGTGTGTGTGTGTGTGTGTGTGTGTGTGTTCGTCGGCGTCTCCTTACCTGTTGTTGTTCGCGGGCGGCTCCGAGAATGCACGGCAGTATGACGAAGGGAACCAGCCCCTTCTGAAAGAAGGAAAAAGACACGTGATGTATTTCATTCCTGCCTAATCGGCTTGAGTCAACACAAAATATTTCCGATCAACGTATGGAAGTGGGAGACTGTCAGGGAGGTAACATTGAAACCTTCATTGTGCTCCAAACAGATTTTTCCTGTTTTGGTGCAGATCTCGGATCTATTTTTCACTTTTGCGCAAAGTCTCACTTGTCTTCATTATTTAGTGCTTCGAAAAGCTTGTACAGTAACCCCCCCCACACACACACACACACAACATTTTGAACAGGATGCTCGTTTTCACTTAACACAAGAGGTTTGGGCTAGGCCACCAATTTTACGCTATTCAATAAAAGTTAGGCACATTGGGCTGTGGTGGAAATTTCAGGATGAATTTAATTTTTTTTTTTTTTTGCAGAAGGTCAAATGAAGTTCAATTGGGTGGCAAGCTTATGTAGCACTTTGAGTTCATCTGAACACCAAATATCCCAACTTCTTTATGAGTTGTAGACCACGAAAATAGGTCGTCTGAGGTCACCATGGCAACAACAAAGAGACCAGATTATTCTGGAGGTAAAAATATTGTTTTATTAGGGTGAACCAATACTATATGCATCATTGTTCCTGTTTGGCCATCTGAGTTCTCTGTACGTGGCGACTGCACCACTCCCTCCATCTGTGTCAATATTTGCACACTCGATGAAAATACATGTTCATGGGAAGTGTTCCGTGTGTTTCCAGCGTGGCCGAGTTTTTCACTTCTTGTTTGCGTTTGTGTAGCCTGGGTGAGTTGCCCAGATACATTATCCGTGCCAAAGACAAAGAAGAAAGAAACTACAATGTCTCAAAGACAAACCCCTGTCAGAAGGTGCACGCTGATAACAACCGTGACGCCTCCATTTATTTATTTTTTTTAACTTCTAAATTTTTGGGCTATGATTCATCTCAGACCTTTATTTTTTTTTTCTCCCCCAAATAGATCAGACATGATGACATTTTGAAAACCATACAGCTCAGGAAAAAAAAAATCTAACCCTTTAAACAACAGATTTGAACACAAATGGTGGAGAAACACATGTAGACACACAATATCACAATAGTTCAGTCATAGTCTGTATCCTCTATGAAAAACCAACTATTAGTTTTGATAAGCTCCAATTTATACTTTATGCAATCTGTATGTATGTATTGGCCAGGTGGTCAAGGTGCGAAACGAGAGGGAGCAGCACAATGTCCAGTGGAGTGACGCAAGAACGTGGCAAAAACTGTTTGAGTCTTAAGATTCTCTTTTATGAGTGGCTTGTGAGACATGAGGGAACCCAGATTGTTTTTATGTTTCACTCCATACTCAGATGTTCAGCATTCTTACGACATGACGGGACCAAAATATCAAAGCACTCACTTTCCGTTCTTCTCCATTTCGCCATACATCCACCCGTCTTTCTCTTCGGGTATGAGCAGGATGATGATGTCGCCCTCATCAAAGCTGAGCAGGGTGTTGTTGTTGCCGGCCGTATGGGGGAAGATGGTGCGAACCCGTGGCCTCTTCGCCGCCACGTTGTTGAGGCCCGTGGCCACAGACACCGACCGGGCGAGATTGTTCTCCCCGTTGCTTTCAAGGTCTGGTTGCGGCAAAGAATTTGAAGGGTGTCAATGGGATGCCGTTGAGGTAGCGAGCACTCCAGTAACTTATTTGTACGACCTGTGTTGCTGTTGCTAGTCGCGGTGATGCTGGCAGTTTGTTTGTTGTCTGGAGTGAACATGTTCACGAGTGGGCTTACGTGAGCCTTCTGAGATGGAGCAGGTGGAGCTGAGATGTTCTGTCTCACACACACACACACACACACACACACACACACACACACACACACACACACACATAAGCAATGCGAATGTTAGCATGCAAATAAGCACTTGCGTTGAATTGTGACGGGCTCGCTGGAGAAATACTCAATCAGCAAAACAAAACTTCATCATCATTGTATCTACCATGTAGGTCCATTCAATGACATCCCATTAATTCAATGACATAATTGTTAAGATGTTTGGTCGTGGAAGTGATCTTTGAACAGCAGATTTAACGATTAAATGTATTTTTTCCACGAGGTACACATCAAAGATGGCCAGTTTTTTTTTTTTTTTTTTTTTGGGGGGCGGGGGACACATATGGCCCACCAACATACCAAACTGTGTCGTGAGGGGCTGGGAGAGGGCAGCGGCGTTATGGAGATCGGTGTACGCAGTCCCTCGATCATGCTCATGACGCTTTGGGGCATGTCCGTTGCGTCGTTGCACTGGTCCTGCCAACTGTTCATCTTGGCCATCAGGGTATCCCTTGCCTGACCAGACAAAAAAACAAAACATGTAAAGCTGTAATTTCATCGGTATGAGAAACTAATCATTACGTCCATTTCGGGCCCTATGGTATATATTTGGTACCTGGGCCTTCTTTGGGGACTTAGCCGTCTTAATTCCCCTTAAAACCACTATGATATAATAATTCTACAAACCTTTACTGTACAAAAACCGCAATATAACAGCACATAATTGTGCCGTGTAAAAATCACCAGAAAAACAATTCACTTCTTGAAAGTAGAACGTCCACAAGAGGGCGCCAGTGACTGATATCAGCAGCCTTCGCGAGGACTCTCTTGAAATAAGGATGGTGTCGGTATCATACTGAGCCAACCTTAACTAAAACACACAGCACCAGAGATGCTTAATATTAAATTTATTAACATGTGTAGATGACTACACACGTTTTGCTGGTTCATGTTGGCTAAAACAAAGCTCTGGCCATGTCCATGACAACTATAGTTAAAGTTACATGGGCAAGTACTACAGATTCACGTGGCAACACAGCGGCTAGTATGTAAGTGGACCAAAAATAAATAAATTAACAAATAAAAATCAAACATACATTTTCAGGAAGCAGAGCAGCCAAAATAAATGCTATGAAAGAAAGACAACAGACCTTCGGGAATAAATGAATATGATTTCATGGAAGAAAAAGAGGGTGGTTAGCGCATCGACCTCACAGTGCAAAGGCACCGGGTTCAATTCTAGCTCTGGCCTCCCTGTGTGGCTTTTGCATGTTCTCCCCGGGCCTGCGTGGGTTTTCTCCGGGTACTCCAGTTTACTCCCACATTCCAAAAACATGCACGGCAGGCTGAGTGAACACTCTAAATTGTCCCTAGGTGTGAGTGTGAGCACGGATGGTTGTTCGTCTCTGTGTGCCCTGCGATTGGCTGGCAACCGGTTCAGGGTGTCCCCCGCCTACTGCCCGAAGACAGCTGGGATAGGCTCCGGCACTCCCCGCGACCCTTGTGAGGATCAGCAGATCGGAAAATAGATGGATGGAGGAAAAAGAGAGCTAGAAATGTCTAACTTTGTGAATGTAGGTCAGCGCTTCTGTCTTTGCCTCGTCTTTCAAAGGGAATGAGTTTGGACGTGTCTGTCATTCACTAAGACAAGCTTTGACAGTCATAACCTAGCTCAAGCGATAGCAGCCCGACCGCAAAATGAAGGGGGAAAAAAAAAACAAACAAAAGAAAAAACGCCAGGTGTGTTGTGTAACCTTGTCATGAAACGATGCGATCTGATAGGAAAACATGCAGTGTTTGTCCACCAGGAAACAGAAGCGGCGCTTCTCCTCCAGAAGAGCCTCTTTGCAGCCGTCTGCGATAAACAGCTGCATGTCCATTTGGCGGTTCGTCAGCGTCTCCACGCACTGAGGACAGACAAACACACGCACGCGTTTACAGGTGCGCCTTACACACAACCGCTTCACACTCGCAGGGGGTTATCGGTCCGGAGGACAAAACAGCTTGTGTTATCCAGCAACTTGATGGCGATTGATCCTCGCGTTGCCTTATCTTGCTGCTCCGTATGGTTGACAGCCATATAGCCGTTGTCAGCGCTCAGCTAACCTCTCAAGATCAAGCGATTCCAAATGAGTGAGCTTTGTTTTTCAACTTTCTAATCACGGCCAGGCAGCGCTGAGAAAAAGACGGCGGTTTTCGGACAAAAAGATCTCGTGAAAGGACGGACAAAGGGGGGCAGGACACATGCTGTGTGTTATCTACAAAAGCAGACGACACTTCAGTCAAGTCTGTGTGTATATACGGTATAGCATTGTGTTTGTTTCCATAATCAGAATCGATTAGCCCAAATTAAAAAAAAAAAAAAACATAACAAAACTACCCATGCATGTTTTGTAAATGCCAAAAATAAATGTATCCCACAGGACACTCATGCTCTCAGGTAATTTTAAAATTAGAGTGTGGTCAACAATTTAACGTACATTTGACAGCCCCCATGTTATTAGCATCCTCCATTTCGAATTTCATTTCATTTTTAGTTGAATTTGACAGCATGATGCCTTAAACATTTATTTTGTGCAATGAAACACTTTATCCCCCCCATTTTGCTGCTGTAAACTGCAAATTTCCCCTGTGTGGGACAAATAAAGGTTATCTTATCTTAAAAGTCACGACCACATATTTTTGCACCAGAATCAGTCAGTCCGTCACATGATTTGAAGTAGCCGATACGGAGTCACGATGAGCCCGCATTGCATTAAGATGATACTAAGTCCCTAATACACCAAATGATTGTTTAAAGCAGGGGTCCCCAACCGCCGGTCCGCGGGCCGGGACCGGGCTTCTGTGTCACGCTTGACACACGTCAAGCCACGCTTCTCCGTAACGCGACCAATTAGGCTAAAAACAAACACCGGAGCTCGCAAAATGAGTAAAAAAACTGCTGGAGATCGCAAATGACGGCGGCCTTAAAAGTACGTTCGAGACAACTGGATTAAAGTTATGTCTGAATACTCTGAGATCGCCACAATAGCACTTTTGCTATTTCCGACATCCTACCTGTGTGAGGCGGGGGGGATTATGCAGCAACGGCGACGAAAACAAAATTACGAAGTAGACTGGACATAAACCACACACTTGCGGTGTCATTGTCTCTCCTATTACCCCGAGATGGGACCGTCTGGTTGCAGAAAATCAAGCTCGGTGCTGTGGTGAGTCGTCATTTTCATGCACTTTGAATTTGCGTTGTATCGTATTTTGAAGGCATTAAACATTGCCATAGCGATTGGAGTGTTGCGGCCAGATTAGACGCTCCTTGTGTTTATTATTATATTTCGAAAACACCACAGTTTTCATGCAGCTCATACCATATTATTTTGTTGTATTATTTCCGCCACACCTTAAATGCCGGTCCCTGAAAATATTGTCTGACATAAACCGGTCCGTGGGGCAAAAAAGGTTGGGGACCCCTGGTTTAAAGTAGCAAATCAGACGTCATTTTGTTCCAAGCTTTGGGCTACCGTGAGCTATTTGTCAATTCAAATGAGAAAAAAAAAAATTAATGGCCACAAGGTTGACTAAAACTTGACAACTGGCACTGTACAAAACATCACGTTTTTCTCATAACTCGAAAAAAGGCAGTTTAGTTACATAGCGTGGGTGCAAATGTGATATTTTTCACATGACACATATAATTCCAAAATTCTGTTTGAAGTACCTCAATGAATCTCATCGGTTGGAGGTACCTTGCCTTGTGTTTTTTAATTTGACATTAACGGCAGAACGACACGTGCAGAAATAACATAACAAATCAACTATGGAAGGTGGGTGGAATATTTCCCACCAACAAGTGGAAGAGGGGAAAATAAAAGGAGGTGTGTGTGTGTGTGTGTGTGTGTGTGTGTGTGTGTGTGTGTGTGTGTGTGTCTGAAAATCTCTCTGTCGTACATAAACAGCACAGACAAAGCTTTTCACTTTTCACCCGTGGGCACTGTAACAAGCCTGTTGCTATGGATGCCCTGCGTTTTACGTAAGGAGAGAGCGATCTAGTCCAACACGAGCAAATAACCATGAGCCACGTTATCATCTCTAGTCAATAATACACTGCCGTCCGGTCCGTGCTTGTACGTCTTCAGTCAGTTTGTGTCACCAGGGTCGTTCCACCAGTCGGTATTGACAGAATTCATAACACCCCCCCCCCCCCCCCCCCGCAAAGATTAGCCGCCAGTCTGACACGATCGATGCATAGAAGCTTACATAAGCGCTGGACTTTTCAAAATAAAATGAGCGATTCGCTGTGGCCGCAACTGTATGCGCGCTTTTATTTTGAAAGACAAAGTGCGCCGCTTCTGGGAGCGGAAGTCATTGAAATGAACGCCAACGCCCGACCTTCACGAATAAGCATCACGCAAAACGCTCGAAGAACACGCCGCGAGGGAAGAAGTCACGGCCGTTGCAAACGAGGCACTAAACGGTCTACTTGTGCCGTTGCTGACGATCTTTGATGCACACAGCTTAACAAAACTTGCCGCAAATGCTCTCTTCTGCTTCCGGCCAGTGAGCGTGATGTCACTGCCCATGTCCAACAACAGATGACCTTTTGACCTTTATTTTATTTATTTATTTATTTATTTATTTTTCCCCAGGCTGTCTGCGTATCATTAGCCAGGAAACAAATCCCAGTCTACTTGTGTAACATTTTTCAATTGAGGCCCCCCCCCCCCATGCACGTGCGCACAAAATGGATCTGATGCCGCCAATCCGCAATTGGCTTCTGGATGTCGATAAGCGCCGTCGTCACAGTCTCGTTTGTGCTAACAGAAGTCTTTCCATGTGGGCCAGCGTGAAGGCAAGATGTTTTTTTTTTTTTTTTCCTCCATTTTTGCCGCATGTCAGATGACTTGCAGTCTGGACTTGGTGTCTAAATACTGCTCCACCTGTTGACGTGGCTCAGGTGGTTTCAAGAAAGCGTAATTAGATCTTGGCAAAAATGTATAGTCCTGTGTGTGTGCGTGTGTGTGTGTGTGTTTATGTTAAGGGGCATTCACGAATGTGTCAGGTGTCTCAAAAGGTGCGTCTGCATCCGTCTCACCTCGCTCTCTTTGTTCTCGTACTTGTTGGCGTTTTTGCCTTGGCTCTTCCTTCGGAGCTTCTTCAGGTCCGCCTGGGATTTCTCCAAAGAGTCCTGCTTCATCTTGTGCTCCATCTGGTACCTTTTATAGGTGGCCTGGAAAGAGCCACGGTGGCGGAATCTCGTTATCCGGCAGCAATCAAGCACAAGCTTGCCAGCTCACTGGTGGTGGGTTGTTGTTGTTTTTTTTGTTGCAATTTCTAGGCAATGTGTTGTTTGTGCAGATTGGTGAGAATTCATCTGCACAACATTACTTTTGGGGGCTTGAACGCTGCTACTAAAAACAATCCACAGAGATGAATGGCAGCCACTTGCGTACGCTGAACCGCAATATGTAACTGCTCACTTGGTTTTATGTCGAAGCAATTAGTGAATTCATTAACAAGCACAATTAGAGTTAAGTAATTACATGATGACTGAAATGTCAACTTGGCTTGCCTACCTAGTCGAAAGCCGTTTGGAGAGTCAATCAACATACAAAGTCGGTTGTGAGTTCGTTCAGCTGGAGCTTTTTGTCTTCTCTCGTCACCGCTGGCGCAAAAGTTACTTCAACGCAACTTGCTTTTTTGCTAAGCAAATCTTGCACCTGCCCGACGACGGCCTCCTCTGCGCTTTTAGCATTTGATCAAGTTTCTCCAAATAAATCCCCTTGCGGTTGTGACAAATCAACTTTCTCCTCTTTTAGATTTTTAAATCTATGATGACATCATTCTTGGTGACGTCGAGGTACATCGATGTGATGATCAACAGCATCTATTATTACCTTCTACCTCGTCGGACGTCAAAAAGGTTCTCGTTGAAGAGTTCGAATACAAAGGCAGATTTTTTTTTTTTTGTGTATTAAGTAAAACTAGTTTATTTCTGGTTCAAGCTAATATTCTTGTATTTATTCAAAGGATTCTGTCAATGAAGCAATTAGAGGATAACTCCATCTCTCTCGAACTGTTTGACGCAATCAACCATAGACAATACGGTTTGAAGTTACAATAGTTTCCACTCACTTTCAAGCAGCGAGCGCGCAAGAAGTCATCAGCCCGGACATGTTTGAGGACGTACGTGCGCTACATTGTTTTTCCAGTTTTATGGAGGAGTTGTTTAGTTTTGCAGGATTCCAAAATCCAACATCAAATGATTTCATGCCGGGCAGTCGGCTGGCACGAGTTGCTCAAAGAGCAGACATCAGCTTTGGAGTTGAAACACATACTCGCTTTTAGAACCGGATTCTCATCTAGAACTGGGTCAGGATTTCCGGCCCTAACAACTAAACCTAAGCAGGTTGAAAAAAAAAAAATAATTGCGATTTATTGCACATAAGACACAAAAGCGCCACATCACTCACGGTCATGTATTTCACATCCATGTCCGTCTTTCGCTCCAGCTCGGTTATAATCTCCCTGTGGAACCTCTTCAACTTCAAGTGGAGAGGAGGACGGATGAAAGGGGAGAGAAGAAGATGCAGAGCCAGTTAGAAACCTGACGGCAAGATGGCGCATCGGTTATTGACTAAGACGAGAAAAAAAAAACAAACGTGTGAAATAAGAGAAATGCATTTCCATCGGCTTGCTCCATGTGTGCGGGGGTGTGCGCTTGGTTCAAGGTTGCCCTTATGAATGAGTCAGAAACAAAGCGTGGGAATGCCCACAGACTTCTCCCTCTTCCTCTTCAGATGTGACTCGCGCTCATTAGTGCGAGGGCGGCCGAGCCTGCGGCATCCGCATGGGGCGCTTCGGTCCGCGCTGAAACTACCCCTTCTATTAACCGCATGCTGAAGACCACACCGATGGCCACCGGTT